ACTCGGCCTCTCCGCGTCCCCAGCTCGCACCCGCGGCCGGCGGCCGGTCCCGCCCCCGGCACCATGCTGCCCTCACAGGAGGCCTCCAAGCTGTACCACGAGCACTACATGCGGAACTCGCGGGCCATCGGCGTGCTGTGGGCCATCTTCACCATCTGCTTCGCCATCATCAACGTGGTGGTCTTCATCCAGCCCTACTGGGTGGGCGACAGCGTGAGCACCCCCAAGCCTGGCTACTTCGGCCTCTTCCACTATTGCGTGGGCAGCGGGCTGGCGGGCCGCGAGCTCATCTGCCAGGGCTCCTTCACCGACTTCAGTACCATCCCATCGGGAGCCTTCAAGGCGGCGGCCTTCTTCGTGCTGCTCTCCATGGTGCTGATCCTCGGCTGCATCACCTGCTTTGCCCTCTTCTTCTTCTGCAACACGGCCACGGTCTACAAGATCTGCGCCTGGATGCAGCTCTTGGCAGGTAGGGGAGGCGGGGGCCGGGTCTCCTTGCTGGAAGAGGCAGAGAGAGGTGCTGCTTCTGCGAGCTGAGACACTCACTTCCCTAGAGACCCTCATCAGCTCCTCGGTGGAGATACCGTGAGAGACACTTTAGAGCTGGGAACAGAGCCTTAGAATTGGGAATTTGGGCCCCCTATGCTTGGATACAGGCAGAGTGCATTTGCTGATGGGTTAGCATAATTTAGCATCTACACAGGTCTCTGTTGGCCATGTTTGTGAAAATGTTTTGTGAACAAGGGGTAGGTATCTTTGACTCGCTGACATTATCAACTTGGATGTTTCACTTTACTTCTCTAAGGTTTGGTTTCCTCATCAGTAAAACATTGGAGAGGATTACAGAGGATTACAAAGGAAAGAGGATCTGGTAAACTTTAAAGTCTTGTAATAAGGGGAGTGTCTGTGGTGTCTGTTCAAGATTGGGTGGTTGGTGGTCCTTGGTGATAGGATCTTTAGAGGAGAGGTTTCATCCTTTCAGCAGCCCCGCCATATGCAAGAAGGATTGTGATGCCATGCCATGGGAAGGAGCCCCTGGGACCTTTTGCAGTATCCAGCCTAGACAGTCTCCTTTCTCTGCGAATCAGTGAAAGGCCTTTGGAGATGAGAAATGCTGAGGCAGGTTTCCAGGATCCATTAGAGTCCCCTGCCCTCAACCACCATTCTATCAAAGACAGATTTTGAATACTCAGCAGCTTGGGCATTTACTAATTGTAGGTAGGAAAGGGAGTTGGACTGGGAAAAGTGGGGCCAGGGGACACCAAGATGGTGAGTGGTAGGAGAAAGTTTGGAGGACCCCAGGGATGAGAAAGAGAAAATGTGAGGCATCAGAGTCAGTCTTTTACAAACAACACCTCAGAGTATTCCACAGGTGTGGAGCCCTCCAAAAGAGATCCCTGGAGGAGGTGCTACAACTCTGGCTGGTGATTCCACTACTCAGAGCATTGCAGGGAGCTGCTCTGCAGTGTGGAGTGGGGGGAACCTCTGCCTTTGGAACTGATGGAGAGACACTCGGGGTCAGATGTCAAGAGTACGGGCTATCAATCAGAATTGTCACATGTGATGACAGCCAAGATGTGACGTCAAGGTAATGGGCCTAGGGTGCTTACAGAGGGACTTCTACACAAAGAAGTCCAAGGAATCACTGCCCCATTGGAAGAAGGACCCAGACTCCTGAGAGGCCTTCTAGAAGAAGGTAGCATGTGTCCTGATGTGGATGTGCTAATGGCGTGTTGCAAATCCATCTCACTCCATTTAATTTCTGCGTGGATCTTTCAGGTTCTTTGAGGGGAAGAGGATTGTCGATGTGAGAGGTCTCTCCACCTTCCTCTGTGTGGTATCCAGAGAGATGATAGTGTGAGCTTCCATTCTATTTTTCATCCAGAGTCAAGCTGGAAAAGATATGCTCAGCTGGAGCCCCCAGTTCTTCAGCCTGAATTTGGAGTCTGCAGATGGGTTGCTGACCTTGTGGCCTTCAAATTCTCTGTAATCCTCGTGGATTTAATCTTAGGAATTTAATGGAATATTCAATAACCCTCATGTATCCATTGGATTTCAGAGACCTCGGCCATCAGACCTTCCAGTTCTGCCCAATTCTCTCATCCTACTGTGAGAGAGGAAGGAGTGTAGAGAGTGAAGGGTTCACTCACCCTCACACAGCCAGCAAGGGAAGAAGTCATACTGAAAGGGCCAGGTTTCCTGACACTGGCCTGGAGCCACTTTCCCTTGAATTACTTCCCCTGAGTGTTGAGGGGCAGAACTGAACAGTTTATTTTATTTTGCTTAGAAATCTTTGAGTTCTCTGGCTTAGTGTCTGATTTACTGTGCTTAATAGAGTGGTACAGGACAGGGCACAGGTCAGGGGGATAGAGATTGTGGCTCACTCCTCCTGTGTCTCACCATACACCATTAGACTTCTTAATTAAAATCTCAGTTTTTCCCCTCTGTACAGTGGGGGTCTGGGGAGTTGGATTAGTTGACCTGAAGTGCCCTTTTCAGCCTTGTGGGCTCCTCACACCACTCCTTCATCAAATCCATTCCCCTGGGCCGGGGGTTTAGCTCAGTGGTGCCCTGCCTGCCTCGCAAGCACAGACTCCCGAGTTTGATTCCGGAAACAAAACAAAACAAAAAAAAAAAAAAAAAAAAAATCCATTCCACTGAGAAAGGGAGCACTGTCTTCCAAGGAACTGCAGAGAAGCAAAGGGCTTCATTTGTGTCCCATGAGAATTCAAGTGCCTGTTGTGTGATTCTTGTTTCTTTGAACTCTTATTTAGTGTTTGAGTGCAGAATACTGGACCACTGGGAGAATACAAAGAAATATTATTTCTTTGTTTATTCCTGACTGCTCTGTGGTCATCACAGTGCTGCATGCTGCAGTACTGACACACATAGGACATCACCTCTGCCCCGAGAACCTTGAGTCTGTGTAATACAGTCCTTCCCCTAGGAAGCTGACCATCTAGCTGGGTCGCTGTGTTGGTCAGCAGTTTTCCAGTGACAAGTGGGAAACTCATTGTAAACTGGCTTAAGTAAATGAAAACAAAATAGAGGTAGAGTTTTTTTTTTTTTAAAGTGATATAATTTGAAAGCCTAGTTTGAGACCACAGGCATGGTTAGACCCAGATGCCCAGTTACTGTCATGAAGAGTCTGTCTCCATTTTTTAATGTCTCTTGTTCACTCATGTTAAGTCCACTTTCGAGTAGGGCCACTGGCAGCTCTAGACTTACATTGCTTTGACTTACAATACATAGCAGTGCTTGGGGAAGAAGCACGATTCCAGTGAAGTTGGAATGTTGGCCAGCATTTGCCAAATGTCCACTTTTTTCCTTTTTGTGCTAGGCATTGAACTCATGGTCTCCACACTGAGCTACATTCCCAGTGCTTTTTACTTGTTATTTTGAGACAGGGTCTCATTAAGTTGCCTGGGCAGGAGTCAAACTTGTTTTCCTTTGATCTCAACCCCCCAGTACTGGGATTATAGGTGTATGAAACTGCACCCAGCCACCAAGGGTCTTGGTACATCTTGGTGATGTGGTCTAAGGCCTGAGCCAGGTGCCCTTCTCAGATAGTGGAGGGAGGTCAGTTCCCGCAGAGCTACATCATGGGCGATGGCTGGAAGAGGGGCACTGTGGCCTGGGAAACTGCAGCACTACACCTCTCTGTGGAAACCCAGAGCAACAGAGGACTGCAGCTTGGGCGGTGGGGGTGGGGGGATGAGGCAGTGCTGACAGAGGTGGGGCATGGGAGAGGGAGGTTAAGGTGTGGGGCAGAGGGGAGGAGGCCACCTTGGGCTCGTGTGGGTTCTACTTGGGGAGCATCAAGGGAAGGCAGGAAGGGGTTGAAAGGGCCACAGTGTGCCTGGCTGAGGAGTTTGGACTTCAGTCAGCAGCAGTCAGAAGCTGCTATAGCTGTTACTATTACTCAAGAGAAGTGATTAACGTTCTGAGCCCTTTCTGCATGCTAAACATTTGACACTCAGAATGTTCTCCAATCCTTACAAGAATGCTATGGAGTAGGTAGCCCCATTCCTATTTTATAGATGAGAAAACAGCCGGAGAGGGGAGAGCCTCATCTGTCCCAGCTCACATGGGTGAGTAGCGGGCCAGGGCTGTGGCTCAGTCTGCCTGACTCCAAAGCCAAGTCTGTGGTTCAGATCAGAGTGATGGGGAGGGTGGTGGCACGGCCCTGCTGCCAGGACACTGAGTGGAGGCTGCAGAGCTGGTAGCCATCTGCGCAGTGGGGCTTGGCTTCTCAGGGCTCCTCAGGGCATCCCAGCATAGCCTCTCACCTGGTTCTTGAGTTTGCTGAGGGTGCCAGCCTCCCCGCGGGGCTCCAAGGTCACACAGCGAGAAGGCGGAGCTGAGGCTTGGTGCAGTCGACATGGCTCTGGAGCCTGTTCTTGCCCTGGACCAGAACCCGGAAGTGAACCCATGACAAGCTGTGGCCAGTGCTCTATGTGCTGATGGCAGGTCGGCCAGCAGATTCCACCTGGGCACAGGTCGGCTGCAGCCTGGGGAGGCTGAGAGGGTGCAGCGGAGGTTTCTGCCCCTGTTCCCCTGTGTGGCTTTGAACTCAGGAACTTCACACTGAACTATATCCTCTGCCTTCCTTCTACTTTACTTATTTATTTACTTATTTTTGGTCATGTTCTTGCTCATTGTCAAGGCTGGGCTGAATTGTGCTTCTCCTGCCTCAGCCTCCCTCAGAACTGGGATTACAGGTGTGCGCCTCTACACCTGGCTTGTGTTGAGTGATAGTTATTTATTGGTGCATAACAACTTGCCACAAAACCTACTAGCATTTATTATGTTTCTGTCTTTGTCTTCTCATTGGTTCTTTTGTTTTTTTGCTAGTAGTGATTGAATTCAGGGGTGCTCTCTCACTTAGCTACTCCCCCATCCCTTTTTATTTTTCATTTTGAGATGAAGTCTTGGTGAGTTGTGCAGGTGGGACTCGAACTTGTTATCCTCCTGCCTCAGCCTCTCTCTGTGTTGGGACCACAGGCATGTGCCACTATGCCCCCTTAGCCATGTTTCTGGGAGTCATAGGAATTTGGGAGCAGCTTAAACAGGGATGGGTAGTTCTGACTCGGGATCTCTTGTGAAGTTGCAAGCAAGACTTTAGTGGGGGCTGTGGTTGTCAGAAGCTCGCTGGGGTTGAACGCACCTAAATGCGTTCTCCTGAGTGTTGGCAGGAGACTGAAGAATGCGTGATCTGAGAGAGAAAGGAAATAGAAGAAACCACAATGCCTGCCTCCCACTTTGAGCAACAGTTTTATTGGGATATAACTCACATGCCATGAGATGTGCACATCTAAAGCAAACAGTTCCAGGTTTTAGTGTATTTACACAACAACCACTGCCACCATCAGATTTAGGCTATTTTCATCATCTTGAGAAGAAACTTCACACTAACCCTTTAGCTGCCACCTCATAACTTCTGATCTCCTGTTCTCTCTGGTCCCACAG